CCCCAAAACCCCAAAACCCCAAGAAACGATTGATTTAGATCTTAAAAATTGAAATTCAGCTAAAATAATAATAATTAGGCAATTTGGCGATTTAATATCATATATTGTATTTTAAATTAAAATCAATTTCTTTTCTCTGTAATTATAAAAATGGACAATAACTCAAAAAATATATATATTTTCACTGTTCTTTTCAACTTAAACATAGTGCTGTAAGTAGCCAATAAAACTGATAGGAACATAATATAAATTATTATAGAGGATCAGCCATAGCTGCCCCATCATGTTTCAGCAAAAATCAGCTACCAATAGAGATATAGGATGGTCAAAATACAAATTAGTCATTTACATCGATTGCCTACCACTCCATAAATAATTACTTTGCAGTAGGTGGAGTATATGGAAAAGATTAAATGATTGGTCTATACAATGGTAAGGGCTATATGAATAGATTCATGTGGCTCAATTCGATTAATTATGAAACTAATAGTCAGTCTTCGCATAGTAAACTCGCAAGCGTAGAGGCAATAGAATTTCAGCAAAGCAGTAGTATTATTAGTTTGATAAGAACTTAGCCATATGATTAGATCTCAGGTCTAGATTAAACTGATTTTATCTTACTTAAAAATGATTTGGCAGGTACTATCAAATATTCGTCTTCAATTCCTAATGCAGGCGTTTTCAAAAGATTGATGCCCAATATCATGAGTGTAAGATAGTATGATGGCTTAGTATATTTGGTATTTGTTGATTATCAAGGATATGGCATCCTTTTAATAATTCATTAGGATCTCTTTGAAATAAAACAGTAGCATTCTTTGAAGAACTCAGTATCTACTTACTTTTACTCGCTATACTTTGTACCTTAAATTGATGATGTTTACTTATGGGGCAGTCAGCTTTAGAAAGATTGAAATACTTACAATATTTTCTATGTGTATTTAGCAGATGATATATAAGAAAATTATTTTATAGAAGCTATTCCTGCTCATGCTTTGGTAGATTATGATGTCATTATTCCGTTGATAGAATATGCTGATGAGTTTAATTACTTGGTAGGATGCTTAGAAGCTTAAAATACTACAGAGGCATTTTTTGGAGTAATTATCCATTAAACATCTACTTTAGAGAATAGAATTTTATATAGGAATGTAAAGGAACATTAAAATCAAGCTGGATTCATTTGTTTAGGAATAGCTGTTTTTACTAGTGATAGCATAGTGGTATTTTTTAGACCTAGAATCCTAAATAATGATGACGGATTACATTTCTTGCAAATTTATAATGATCCTTTTGCTGTAAGTGGATTTAATGGATTGATTCAAGAACAAAAAATAGAATTCAAAGGAAAATTTCTTGTCCTAAATTATTTCAGATATATTTATGATCGATAGGATTTCTATCATCTTGGTTATCTGAAAGAAAATAATCTTATATAAAAAGCTTACTTTTCTAGCTACCTAAAGACTGTATACTACAGTATTATTGAAGATTCAGGGAAATAGGCTTAAATGTAGTATTAAAAAATTGAACTGATAAATACAAATATTTTTACAGAAGTCTCTGTTACTTCTTCTTCAAACTAACAAATAAATCCTAGCACTCTAATAGTAATAAAAGATCTAATGCCATATATCAATCTATGGGAATATCAAGATTTAGTGACACAAAAAGATATCATTGTATCTAAATTACCAGTCTAGCAAAATATAATTCCAAATAAAATTCCTCCAGTTATAGATTGCTATGTAGGCAGTTAATGCAACTTAATTTACTCTAATTATACCCTTGAAAACTAATGCTCTGATGAATAAGGTAGTAATAATTACAAATTAGAAATCATAGTTGATAATTAAACTTTCGCTAATACATTAGGACTAGTCATTTAAAATCAGAGTGGTCCTGGAAGCTTCTAATAGTTAAATATATCATTCAAACTTAGTGATCAATATTATTCTGGCCTTTATTTTTTCAATATTTCCTATAAGATCTCTGACAACACAAATGAATGGATTTTAATGAGCAATTAATTTTTACTCAATTTGTCAAGTGACTGCCTTTACAAGTGCAAGATTACTAAACAGCTAATAATACCTAAAATTAGGCACTAAATATCAACAGAGCCTACTTTTTATTAGCTTGAAAAAATACAATTCTACCCCAATCAAGAGTGCTTTATCTAATCCATTTCATTTGAAACTATTAATGATTCAAGATTGGGATCTATTATTTTAACTGATAAATTGTCTTAGTTTTAGATAGGAATTAATGTAAGCGATCCAAGCATGATAGGCAAGCATTAATTATCCTTTACTGTTGAAGTCAGTGCTGATATTGAGAGTT